TTTATCAACAGTCCTAAAATGACTCATTTGTGACGTGTGGTTCTATCAGAATATCTGGTAAAATCTAAGCTTCATATCAGATTCATATCAGAAGGCCCAGTTCGGACCACACATGTCCCCGGCTCTGATCCAGTTTGTCTTCCCTTGACAGACATCTCAACTTCATGCAGGGACAACAGATGCAAATTAGCTTTTGTTGTTGTTGTTGTTAATGACATTTTAGCTCAGCGGGTCGGCAGTCCAAAACACTTGCTTCAAAAGATACTTTCTTTTCTTCTTAAACCAACACCAAACACATTTTTATAAAAGGATTTATTCATCAGACTTTCTGAATGTGGAGCAAAGTCACATCTGGCAGCAACAATGTGCGGTTACACTGCAAGTATGAATTTTAAAAATTCAACACAAACAGATGTTTGTTTTACTTGTTTTTCAGTGTCTGGCTCTTTCTGAAGTTCCAGCTTCACAACATGTGGACAACAAATATGAGTTTGGTTCACTCATGGTGATTGTTTGATGCTGCTTCGGTGGGAAAGTGTTTTTTTTTTTTTTTTTTTTTTAAATCTCAAAATAAATAACTGGAGAGTGAAATCAGTAATAAAACCAATAAAATGCATCATGATCCATCTGCTGAAGTTCTCTGAGTGCAGAGGTGGCAGGTGTGTTAATGCTGCAGAACAACGGGCAGCAGTTTGCCTGCAGGCGTGTTAACATCACATGTTGACTCGTGCAGTTCACAGAGAAACGTCGTTGATCCAGACACCAAGCGGCACTCTGAGGCGGAAGATCATTGTTCAGCTAATCTGACAGTAACTAAACTGGCCAATCCAATAAATGATCTTTTGGTTAGGTCATTTTTAAGCAAGAAAAGATCAGGTAGTAACTTTTCAAATGGGAATTTGCCAAAAGAAACATCTGATTGTGTTTATTTGGGCTTCAGGGATTTACAAGGAGCATTTATCCCTTTTTTTGTGCATTTTTTGTAAAATATCAATCACTTATTTAAAAAAAATCTTCACTGCGGTCTTTCTTTAGGTTTTCTTCATGTTAGTTACACAAAGGACAAATATNGAACTGAGCAAAGGATGTCTCTATTCAGAGAAAATGCATAAGTGAACTCTAATGCTATGAGGTTTTTGAGCGAGCCAGTATTTCAGCATGCAAGATAAAAACACCTTCACGACTGTGAATTGTACTTCGTTGAGAAGGTTACACAAGAGAGGGAAGGAACAGTTCAACTAGGTTGACATGTTTACCAGTAAGGATTTGTAGACCATGTAGATTTGAAGATGAGCTGGCGGAGGAGTGAAAACCAACACCCTGAGCCAGGCCTCCAGCAGAGGGAGTGAGCCTCACTGAGTATTTCCCCACTGCTGTCTGTAAAAATGTCAGTGGATGCTGCACCACAAGTCAGGCACCATGAGCTCACACTAAACTCCACAAATATTTTAGGAAATTGGGAGGATTATTATGAAAACCCTTTTTTGTCACTTGTTCTTTAGTCAAAAACACAGGAGAGAAAACAGGACTTCCTTGTTTAGGACACTTAATTGCTCCTCAGACAAAAGCAGGGTTTAGTCATATCACGGAAATGTAGTTATTTACTACATAAAAATGCAAATTTTATTGTGAATCTTTAAAAAAAAAAAAAAAAGATCTCTTTTGAAATATTTTAAAATATCTTTCAATGTAAAAAGCAAACACGCATTTAACAAATGTACATGTTTTCCATCTTCACAAAGTGAAGCACTTCTCTAAGAAACTCTGTATGTCAGTGAAGTAACCCTGACAAGGTTACTATAATCGAAATGCACGTTTTTAAAATGACATGTGGGCTGATTACATTTCTGATTGTAATCAGAGTACACATTCCTGAACACATGTAGTGTGTTACTACCACACAAAAACCAAAGTAAAAAAATTAAAGTAAAACATCATCCATCATCAGCATTTAAACCAAGGAGTTGAAGCTGCTTAACTTCATAACCTCCTACAGAGGACACAGAGAGACTGAAGAACCCGACCACCCTGAAAACCCAGACCTGAACCCAAATCCAGGATACAGAGGTTCAGTGAATGTGGTGGTGAAGGTGTGGAGGTGGATCACAGAGTCAGAGGAGACTCTGTAGAAGGACAGAGTGCCAGCAGGATGGTCCAGATACACCCTAACCCTGTTAGAGACTGAAGAGGAGGAGATGGATGTTGTTTTGTTGTTGTGCCAGACAGAGTAACCTTGAGAATCACAGCAGTCCAGACTCCAGGACTGATTGTTTCCCCCAAACATACAGTCATCACTGTTTCCTTTTCTTCTGATTCCTCTGTAGCTCACTGCTATGTCAACCTCTCCGTTCCATTCCACCTCCCAGTAACAGCGACCAGTCAGACCATTTGTACACAGCAGCTGCCAGTCTTCAAATCTGTCTGGATGATCAGGATATGGCTGCTTTTCCTCCACCAGTTTCACCTTCTTCTTGTTGTCAGACAGTTTGAGGTTTCTGTTTACTGAGTTTGTGTCCAGTTCAAGTTCACAGAAATCTGATGGAGAAACAAAAGACACAACAGAGCTGCAGTTCATCATCTGATGGCTTTGTTCTGTCTTTACTTCCTGATGTGTTGTTAATTAATATGAAGTTTCTGATGATACTTTTTGCTTTGATTGAATATTGAATCAATAAACATGACAACCATCAACTTTGTCTTTAAAGACAAACTGACAGTTTGCTGTTTTGTCATCATTAATCAAACTTACACTTCGTCAGACCAGGTTTTAACCACTGCTCTCCATCATGGTCCGTCCTGCAGGAAGAAACACAATCAGAATGATTTTCTATCCAGCATGAGTCATCACTGCTGGTCACCATGAAGCAGAGCTCCTCAGTTTGTCAGTGTGACACAGAAACAGGCTGAAACTCATCTGATCACCTGTCTCTCTGATAGTTTCACTCTGATGGTGAAGAAAAGACCAGAAGAAGAAGATCATGTGATGTACAAATAGAAAAGAGCACAGTGTGCCCTGATCTGTTCTTTTCATTGATGTCCTCCTGCATGTATAATGTTGCTCTTCACATGTCGTCCCTTAAATTGAACAGCTGGACCAACATTGACACATGAACAACTACATTGTTTTCAGGCTCTTCACAGCTCAGTGGAACCATCAGATTGACTCTGTTTGGTGTCATTTGCATGTTCCATCCAGGGTCTGATTATGGAGGGTTCAGCTGTCTAGACAGCAGAGCTTCATGACAAGGATGTTCAGGGTGATCAAGGTGTTTTTAAACTGTTCACTACTGACACAAATCTATTTAGCTTTCAAGCTTATACGTTGGGTTGATTTTAATGACATTAATGTACTTGAAATATGTCATACTGAGGACTTTCAGCAGGAAAAACATACTTAAGAAATCCACACTGAAAACATGTCATTACCAGATTGTGATGGCCCTGCCCAGTGGACTCTTTGGGCACATTGGATTATTTGCTCTGGTCACTAAACTGCTGCTCCACCCTTCAGGGCAAAGTACACTGATCCCTTCACAGTCACAGAATTAAATGTGAAGTATGTCATACTCAGGAAAATCAGATCAAAAATTAAACTCTGTATCTGCAAATATTAAATATATAAAATAATAAAATTTTTGAGATTTTAGGCTTGGAAAAGCTTCCTGAAGAAATCCACATTGAAACAGAAAGACTACAAGATGAAAATGAAGGCAAAACTACAAGATTATCAAGGACAAATGTACTGACAATATATTTGTTCCAGCAGCAGGCCATGCATAATGTGTTAGGTAATGCATACATTTACTCATCTGTTTTGCCTTAAATGTAGAAAAGTCATATTAAAGGCAAATATCTAATAATTTAGGAAAAGGCAGAAAGGTTACAACAAAGGAAAAGGCTAGTACATCTAAAACTGAAAATGATTTTATAGTTTATGTTTCGCAGAAAAAAATGTTTCCATTTCATAAAAGGTTTCTGAGAATCATTGTGTTTCCAAACTCAGACCTCCTCATGTCTCTGAACCAAAACCAGAGCAGTTACTCTTCTTTTATGATTATGGACATATCAAATGAAAGACATTAGACCAACCTGCAATGTGTGAGCTCCTTTTGTCTGTTCATACCTGACAGTGTCCAGTCTCCAGTGTGGATTCTCCACTACAGCAGAAAGCAGCTTCACTCCTGAGTCTCCTGGATGGTTGTAGCTCAGGTCCAGCTCTCTCAGATGGGAGGGATTGAAGCTCAGAGCCGAGACCAGAGAAGAACAACCTTCTTCTGTGACCAGACAACCTGACAGACTGGAGTCAGAAAAATATCGTCAACTCAAGAAGCAAGAAGAAAAATCCTACAGATGTTGAACATCTGCACAAAGAGGAACATAAAGCAGATTTAACTGATCAACAAGCAGCTGTATTCTGACCTGAGAGTTTCCAGTTCACAGTGTGGACTCTTCA